TATATATATATATATATATATATCTGTATGTATGTATCTGTATATCTGTATTTTAACAACATCTATCAGCGCTGCATACTTTCCGATCGACAATTCGAAAAATATACAAATAAATATATAAATATATATATATATATATAAATATATGAACATATTAATATATACAAATATATATAAATAAACACACAAATAAATATACAAACAATATATTAAAAAAAATTTAATAATTATATAAATAAATATATAAACATATAGATATATATAAATACATATATATATAAAAATATATATATATATATAAATATACAAATAAATATACAACACATATATAAATAAATATATAAATAAATATATAAATAATTACACTATATATAATTAATAATACAGTAATATATATATTAATATATAGAGTATAAATATACAAATAAATATATAAAAAAGAAATGAACTTATTAATATATATAAATATACAAATGAATATATATATAAATAAATATATGAACATATTAATATATATAAATATATATATATATATAAATATACAAATATACAAACAATATATAAACAAATTTAAATAATTATATAAATAAATATATAAACATATATATATATATATAGAAATATATATATAAATACATCTACAAACAAATATATAAATAAATCTATAAATAAATATAAATACAGTATAGAATATAAAACAATGCATTATATATATAAATAAATATATACATAGGCCTGTATATATATAAATGAATATACAAATAAATATATATATAAATATACAAATATAAAAATATATAAATATATACAGTATATATAAAATAATATATATATATATATATAAATAGATATATAAATAAATACAATACATATATATAAATATATCTGTATGTATGTATCTGTATATCTGTATTTTAACATCTCTATCAGCGCTGCATACTTACGGATCGACGATTCGAAAAAGTGTATGTACTGCGCATGACTGGACTACACAGGCAAAGCTCTCCGGTGGGAAAAAAGGATTTAAAATGCATGGCTCGTATGGCTCGCATTTTCACTTGTAAAGCTCAGGATTTCTTGCAAATATGTTATATTGGTACAACAAAAACATATTTTTTATATAAATTTGATTCCAATGTAATGACTTTTTATATATTTTCCCTTAACTATTAATTTACCAGCAAAAAAGTGTGGGCTTAGGTAAAAATAAAACCTCCCTTACTCATATATTTTTATTCTTTGATAGGGTGATCTAATACATTTTTAAATGGGGCCTAATGTATTGCATTAATTATAACACAACTACACTCTCACACAAAACCACCTTATGACAACTTAAAGAAAGAAGTGAAGATTTGAAATAATTAAGGTCCATACTTTTAATTATTAAAACAAAGCTATATCAAAATAATGAATTATATAAATGTTACATGTTTAAATCTAAATCTCTAATAATTTCAATTTGTATAAAAATACTTATTTACAAATCACCTCATATGAAAAAAATTGTTATTGTATCAAATTGTAAGCAATTGTACTCACAGAAAATTAATAATAAAAATTAAAATTACAAAAAATTAAAAGGTAGTTACTAAAATATCTACTAATTTTATTGTTAATTATACACATTGACACACAATTTGGCATTATCAGACTGTTAGGGCCTGTTGTATGTTGTATCAAAACTGTCACATTCAATAAGCCACTGCACTTTTTTTTAAGAACACATTTTATAAGAACAAATTGAGGCTGAGGTATATAAAAAACAAAAAACAAACAAACATAAATATCCATACTGTACGTAACATGTAATACTAGAGTACAGTAATATAGGCCTATGTACAACAATAATTTTACACATATGTAAAGTATGTTAAACAAAATAAGAACATTTTGTGCCTGACATCGGCAAAAAAAAAATGTTTTACTTGCTCTTATAAAAAAAATGTACTGTCACATTACTGGCAAGTTATATGGTATTGGTTATAATTACAGTATATGTGATCTATTTACTTAGAAATTAGAATATATTATTTTCACAAAAATAAATACAGTACTGCATTTCTTTATTATAGTAGCAGTAAATTAATATTTATATTAAATAGTAACATTATTACCAGGACCATAGATAGGCCTATTTAAATATGCACCACTTTCGGTAAACATGTACCAGTCATTCAACTACAAAACACATAATAATATACTACTATTACTACGGTCAAAGAGTATATAACAGAAGAGAGTCCACTGCTATTCTTAATACACACGAGTCAAAATATTGTACTGTACTTTATTTAGTATTTTTCCACACGAACTTCAAATACTTTCACAAGCAAATGAGAGGTAGGTAATGATGAGGTAAACATCCATCTTGATATACCTTAAAGTCAGGCTCCGGAGGAAAAAAATTTTTTGATATGTTGTAGAACTGATTTTTCTAAGACAGAAAAAAGTTGTTTGACGAAAAACTGGCGAACGGTGAATGAAATACAGATTTTTTAATATTTAAAAACTGGGGGAAAAAGGGGCGTAACTGCCCATTTTTACACCTTATTCCCCCAGTTTTTAAATATTAAAAAATCTGTATCTCATTCACCGTTCCCCAGTTTTTCGTCAAACAACTTTTTCTGGTCTTGGAAAAATCAGTTCTACAACATATCAAAAAATTTTTTTCCTCCGGAGCCTGACTTTAAAATCCCGAATTTATGATGATAAAATGAGAAAAAAAAATCATCCATCCATGGACCTATTAATAAGATCCATCCAACTGTTAGTCACCCAGGCAACGATTTTTTCCCGTAGGAAACATTTGCATGAAACTCGGTCTGTCTCGGAT